CCGGAAGCCATAATGGACCTCCTACTGTTGTCACTCAGAAGTTGTACAAATTTAGTTGATTTAGTTGTACATTACTATATTATCATTATCACAGTATTACCGTAAATAAATCCATTCATTAACACGTTGAATGCCATGGGGGTCACCGGTGAGTGGCACTCAACTTGGTCGTGGCGCCGTAGCTGTCATTGGCGACCGACGCACCAAGATTAGTAGAAATACATAATCTAAACAAATCAATTATTATAATAATTCTAATTAATAATCGATATTAACGATTACCATCGTTACTGCAATAGTGTGACAAAATTAATGTAGTATAAAACATATAAAGATAGTTTTATTTATACATGAAATATAGATTTGTTATGGGCGTCCTCCTCCAGTGGCTGTTGAACATGAAAAATCCCGCCTTTACCTTAGTGAACAATATTCTCATTTTAATATATAATAATTTCGACTTGAAAGATGGTAATTAAGCCTTGACCCTCAAGTAAAAAATGCCAAATCTTGTTGCGGCTCTTTTGGATTATTACGGGTCCGAATAAGTATGATAAGTATGATAAGGGATGCATTATGGTATATGGTATGTTTCGGGACGTAACAACATAGAACAGTTCTTTGGCAACGCGAAGAAATAATATGAGATAATTGATAATCGCAATAAATAAGTGAATCGAGAGCGAAATTGCACTACAGCGCCATGGGGGTCACCTGTGGCCTCAGTGAGATAAATTCATTAATGATGATTATACATCATAACATACCTCTTGTATACTTGTAATATTTCAGCATTATATGTATCGGATAATAAAATATTCATCGTGGCGCCAGGGCCAAACTCTTGTAAAACTGGCCTGGCATTCAAAGTATTAAATAAATCAAATCACTATATGTAGTGTAGTATAAAACGCGTTTGCATGAAATACATCACATATCACAAACGAAAATTGAGGTTATATTATATTATATTATATCATATTATAATGAAATTATATTATATATTATTGCATTAAGATAAGCAAAATTTGAATTATAAACAAAATCGTAAAGCTATTTTTAATTTGAAACATATTTATTTTAATTCAGGTGCTCCTGTAGGTTCTGTTCTGTGTGGAACTAAAGATTTTATCACTAGTGCAAGGAGAATCAGAAAAGTACTTGGTGGGGATATGAGACAAGTTGGTATTCTTGCTGCAGCTGGGCTTGTAGCTCTTGAAAATATCCCCAAATTAGTTCACGATCATAGAAGGGCTTACGCTTTTGCATCTGCGATAAATGAAATCCAGTCGTCTATATTTTCGATTGATTTGAGTACTGTACAGACAAATATTGTTTTCCTGAACATCGAATCCGATACCATTGACACAACGAAGTTCATTCATTGTTTGCTAGAATTTGATGATGCCGAGAACGAACACGTTGTCGTCAAGTGTTTGGGATTGACCGATTCACTTATCAGGTTTGTATTTTCTTTCGAAATTACAGACGATGATTTGATGTTAGCTATTAAAAAGGTTACATCCGTTATTAAAAAGTTAGATCCTAAATTCTAATTATTATAGTCAAGGGTGCCTAATTGTTATCTAAAATATATTTATTGGGATACGCATAATTCCTTTTTGTTATATCAAACCTTTTTCAATCAGCCTCCCCCTCTCCTCATGATAAATGATTTCCCAAATCGACCAAATCTAATCTGAGAAAAACATCTAAAAGAATAAATCTGAAAACAAAAATTCCCTATTATTTGGCCTACACGCTTTAGAAGCAGATATTTTATTATATTCCCTTTTCCAAAGATTTCATCATTCTTTTTAAAGAATGTAAAACGCTCAGTTGGGAGATGTTTGCGCAGCCCATGGCGTGCCATCTGAAGGTCAAAAATCTAACACCAGATATGCTCATCGCTGTGCTAACATATTTCGAAAATGCTAGTTTTTGAGACAGAGACATTCTTTTGCAACAACACGCAATAGGTTACAACGTTTTTTTAACCGACTGGAGGATAGAAAAGCATCACATCTACTCAGTTCGATTCGGTTGATGCCACGAAAGTTTGCAAAGATGTTTGCCAGAAAGGCCCGTCTGCCAGGCGTGCGCGACCTAGTGGACCAATTGCTGAGACATCGTGTCGCCCAGCGGATTATATTGAGGCGGGCAGGATGTCTGGTGAACGTCGGCCCGTCCCCAAGAGAAACAGTAATCGTGAAGTTGCCGTTGGATCGCTAGCCGGCCGGAGAATCCTCGTGAGATGTGGGAATTCTACCTTCTGCCACCAACAATTTTTACGTTGCAATCTCGTTATGAGATCGTTAAGTATTGAAATACCTTTTTTTATTTTATTTCATTTCTATTCAAGTTTAAAGTACAAAAGGCATTCAGCCGCTGCTGTGAACAATTATTTGTATTACAAGCTAAGCTGCGATTTGATTTATTCTCGAGCTAAATTCTAATCTCCTCGTGACTTTTATTCTCCATATTTTCAAGGGAGAAATTGACGTCTCCTTCCAACATATCCTTCGAATATATCTTATCAAAAATTCTGTCCTATTCGAAATCGACAGCTCTTCACAAACAGACGGTATACCGGGTCGTCTGGTAAGTTCTGTGGAGGATAAGTCTGTTTCTGATGTAACGAAATAACGAAGACAATCCGTTAAATATATTTTCAATTGAATAATTAATTACGGATAAATTGCGAGTCCGCTGGTACAATCTTAAGTCACGGAATAAATGCTCGTTAGACACTCAGAGAAACTTCGTAGATCAGTGCGATGCTTGTTTATGCGTCAAAATGCTTCGACTCTGTTCGATCGCTCGTGATTGCGTCTGTTTATTTCTACTGTTTATTTATAACTCGACTGCGTCTGACGGCTGTAAGTAGCGGCGACATTGTTTTACTCGGAGTTCGTTACTCCTTACAATACTTGTGACCTAACGGTCTTGATACTCCGAAGCAAAACAACAACAGGATTTGAATTGTAGTGCTCGCGTGAAGCTAGAGCTAGTTTAGATTAACATTTCATTTTATGTTCGTTTCTTACATGTGTTTCTTGAGTTATATAGGCGCCATTTTGCTGCACCTTTCTCCATATGAGTATAATTTGAGTATTTCATCTTCACAGAATTTCCCAACATTCATTGACCAATTACTATCGTCTGTAATTTGTAAATGTCAACAGCGAAGCAAAGAAGAAATTATCGTCTATCCTCGTCGCTCTTATACGAGAAGCTATCGTTTATCAACGCTGTATAAAAATATGAAACCGAACTTCCTGGTATGAAAGAAACAAGGTTTCTTTCAGAAAATTAGCGTGCCCTAACGTGAATCAGAACTTATCAGATTTTAACCAGCTCCACTTTAATTTCTGTTTTAATTATATCTTCGTTGGCAAAGAAGGTTTTTTTCTTTTTTTTTTTTATTTATTTGGATTTTACAATTTGTCCAGTAGGACATTTGGTAAAATATTATAGCTTAGTGATATAGCAATATAGTGGATGGCTACCCCCTGTGGGATACCATCTTCGATTTTGATTGATTTATTTCTTTAGTGTGGTGATTGTCTGTTAGGTTACGTTCTTTGTGAGATCTGTTAGGTGTTTCCTTTCTTTTTTTTTTCTTTTTATTTATTTATTTGCATTTTACAATTTGTCCAGTAGGACATTTGGTAAAATATTATAGCTTAGTGAGATAGTATTATAACATGTGGGTGGCTACCCCCTGTGGGATACCATCTTCGAATTTGATTGATTTATTTTTTTAGTGTGGTGAGTGATTGTCTGTTTGGTTACGTCCTTTGTGAGATCTGTTGGGTGTTTCCTTTTTAGTCTTCTTTTTATCCTAGGACGCTTCCTTGCGGAACTCCTGCCTTGATTTCTTTAACTTCAGAGTATGTGTCTTTGATTTTTACTATGAAGGTGCTGCTGCTTAAGTATGATTTGATTAATTGGTATATCTGCTCCGGGAACTGTTTCCTGATTGATTGGAGTAGGCTAGTGTGGTTTATTTTATCGAATGCTTTTTCGATGTCCATAAAGAGTGCCGTGCAGTATTGTTTTGTTTGCAACGCCTGTAAGATTTCATTGACGAGTCTGTGCGTTTGTTCTATTATGGAGTGTTTGTTTCTGAATCCGAATTGGTGATCCGGTATTAGTTGATTCGTCCCTATTACAGATTATATTCGGTCGTAAATTACTTTCTCTAGTATCTTAGAGAACACCGGAAGTAATGAGATTGGTCGGTAGGATTTGATCTCGTGTAGGTCCTTGCCTGGTTTGGGTATCTATTATTGTGATTTGTCTTATCGCTTTTGGCGGAAGGTTTTTCAAGATTTAGCCGTTAATTAGGTCGATTCCTGGTGCTTTATTATTTTTTGTTTTCTCAATTATGTTTCTGATTTCTTGTGCTGTTGCTTTGGGTATGGTGCAGTGATTGTCAGTTGGTGTACTAGTGGTTAGCGCATCCTCGTCCGTATGACTATTGTGGTTGCTGTTGTTGATGTTATGTGGGGTAAATGTGTTGCATAGGTGGTTGGAAAATCCTTCAGCTTACTCTTCGTTGTTTCTTGCCCATGTGTTGTCTGCTCTTCTGATTGCTGGTACCATTTTTATTGTCTTCTTTATTTTTTTTGTGGCTTTCCATAGGGAGTATTTGTAGTTTTCGTGGGCAGATAGTGACTCGATGAACTTTGTGAACTCGTTGTTGTTGCGCTCTCTTATTTTGTTTTTTATTTCTTTTGTGAGTTTGTTTAGGTGTTTTTTGTTTTCTT